TGTTCCCCTCACCCCTGAGCCGTGCTGAGGGCTGTGTTCTCCTCACCTTTGAGCCCTGCTCGGGGCTGTGTCTCTGTCACTGCAGCCGCAGAAGGGGAGACTGGACATCTGGGGAAAAATCCCCTAAAGAAGGGACAGCCTGTGTTTTGAAGAGCCCATTCCAGAATGAAAAGCATGTAAAAAGGGAACGAAGACCCCGAAGTGCTGTGTCCAAGCCCAGGGTAGGGCTCCTTTGTCAGCAACCTAGGGGAGCTTTATCTTGGTCCTATGTTCCAGCTCCTCAGGATGCAAGTCTTGCACAAAACATTTATTTTATGAATGAAAAATGTAATTTAAGATGGACAAAAGCAGCTGAAGAAGAAATCAGATTTGTCCATTACAAAAGAAGGTCATAATATAAAGAACAGTACAGAGATGTGCGGAGTGATGTAGTGTTTACACTAAAAACTCAGTGCAGAGCAAACGATTTGGAACAGACACAAAGTCTAAGGTCTTTTATTACATTTTATAGATTAAATATATCCTCAGTAGAGTCTCTGTTTTAAAACACACAAAAGGAAAAAATACATTCTTCATGTACATATGAAATACTGACCATGTAGCAGGGACAATGTACAGTGCAAAGTATGAACACAGCTACACAGACATCACCACCTTAGATGATTATCAGACTTTTTCTACAGTAAAACTGGAATAAGTTAACATTTCTCCTTCCAAAGGGAAACCCATACCCTTCCCTTCCATGGCATTCTGTGGGATTGTGCAGGAAAGGGTTTTACTGACTTTTTAAAGGTATTACAAAATCCTTGCATTGCATGAAAAATCTATCAAACTCCTCAAGCTTTAGCTTTTTCACACATTCATAATCATAGTACAATTTTTATGATTGCAACCCAACTCCAAAAATCCAAGGAAGAACAGAAATATATATAACCTGGTGTAGAGAAAGGAATGGATCAGACTGATTGTTGCAATGTCCAGGAAACATGTACCCACACACATACACAGAGGGTGGAAGAGTGAGGTGTGACAGAACATCTCCTATTTATCACCAGTTTAGAGTGAGGGCATAGGGATTGCACGTTTCACTTCGGCAGTGAATCTCTAGTGTGACTCAGTATGGGATGTCATTCTGGTAGTACTGGATCATGTCATATGTCCTACTCCTAGAGAAGAAAAGCAAAGCCAGAGGTAAGTTAAAAGTTTAAACAAACACTGCACCCATTGTCACAGGAACAATCATCAGGATCCCGCAGAAACAAAACATGGGTGAAGGACATCAGCTGCTAATCAAAACTAGCCCTTCGTGCTTTGAAGGCATTGTGAAGGCCCAGTTAATGTTATGAACAGCACAAAACATCCTGCTCTTGTTTAAACTAGGTAATAAAAAAGTATTTTCATGCTTCTTAGAGTGGCAACAGCATCAGCAGCTTAGATCCTGTGTTTGGATAAGCCAGAAACACCTCACACTGCATTGGCAGCTTGTTTTAGAAGCAGGAAATGCATAATGAATGAAGCAAGATCATTAGGGCTGCATGGAGACAGGATTATGTGGCAATAAAAGTCATCTCAATTAAGGAAAATGCTAATAAAGAAAATAAAAGTGCAGGGGAAATAACAGCATTGATAGCAGCATCTCTGATCAGTGTCTGAGCAAACAAATCTAAGCTTGTTAACAGGTAACTCTGTTATCCATGGGCAGAGCTTGTTCAGGTCACACACTAACCATGCCACAGGTAGAGAAGCTCAAGCTTGTCAGAACTAAGTTGGCTCTGGGCATTCACAGTGTCACTGCCTTCAAAACCCCAATACTAATCTAAGATTCTGAGCAGGTGCACCAGCATCACAGAACATCCAATTCAGTTCTAGCAGAGCTGTATCTGAGCCAGTGAGTGGTACTGGTTTGAAGCTGACCCCATATGGAACTACACAAGACTTTGTATTAGACACTCCAATACATCCCACAAAATCTGTATTATCTGGGATAATTAAACATGCACTTAAGGTGTTTAAACTTGCTATTTGACCAGCCTGGGCTTAAGCCTTCCCTCCCAGTGTGAAAGGCAGGACATGCAGCACATTCAGAAGCAAAGCTCCTATCCTGCATTATCTAAATATCAACAACTCAAAAATGTTTGGTATCTGACTGACAAAACTCTACTTTTTAGCTCTGCTCAAAGCCTGATGACCTTCCTTTAGCTATAGGGAGAAGACATCACAGATGCCAAACCTGTTGCTGAGGAAACAATTCTGGATGATCTTGATGATGAAAGTTGCGGCCTCCCGTTCAGTCATGTTGGGGCTGAACCTGTGTCTATACGAAGAAAATCACAAAAAAGCAAGAGTAAAATTAGTGAGGTCTCCTTTGAGGATGGTACAAATGTGTCATTGCACAAGTTCAGGCAGGTGAGATTTTCCTTGCTCCAAGTACCTACTTCTTGTGAGACTATCTTGTACAAAATGCATCACGCTATAATAAACACTTACTGTTAGCCTTATAGTGGATACAGAGGCTGTGAACTTTGCATCAGTCTAGTGGTGATTCTAGGAACAGCCAATCTCTCTTTCTAGGCAGCTGCTGCTTTTAAAATATCTTTGCACCAAGTACTGCTCTTGAGCTCCAGCCCAACATACTTTATGAATCTGCACTTATCTTTAGGAGACACCAGGAAGTTAAATGCAGGAAATGCTGACCTAACTCTGCTCACTCTGCAGCTAGCTGTGGAGGCATAAACCTGAAGGACTGTTAAAAGTGTCACATTAAAATCTGTATTTCCTAAGCTGCTGGATGTTACATCATAGTCCCATTCATTATCTGTAGAACAAATTTTAAGATGCTGTGATTCAGACTCCGACACCATTTCAGAGGACCTCAGACTCTGCAACACACCACCTCTCAATTAAAGCAGATCTTTCCTTTACAGTCTCATTTTGCTAGTCCTACAATCTTAAAGATAACCCATGTACCTGGAACAGTAAAGACCATGTTTTCCAGTTCATACATGTGCTGACTTACTTCAACAGCTTGATTGTCTGCCCTCGGAAACAAGGCAGCCCTGTATCCAACATCAGTGTCACCAGTGAGACCACAGCATCCATGTAAGGCCTGGAGAAAAAGAAGACAAAAAGGTTATAGCACTCAAACATCTGCAGTCTTAGCAGGTAAAGCAGGCAAGCTGAGGAGTTCAATGAGCTGGATCACATATTTTTCTGTAATTAAATCAACACATAATCCTCTTACATTTGCTGGTAAAGCTACACCATTGCTTGCCATCTGTCACTTTAATTAAATTTACTCCTCTATGTTGGACTACCAAATACTCAGAATGCCGCAAGATGAAGTCTCAAGAAGGATTATACAAAGCAAAGCTTTAGCAAACAACATTTCTTTGGCATCAGTAAGGTGAATCAGTGCACCAAAATGGCACAAAAGGCTGAAACCCGCAACACCACAGGAACACAGCTTCTAATTCCTAAGTATTCTGTGTAATTCTTTGCCACATCAGCCCAGCTTCCCTTCTCCTTCCTGTCCTCCCACTCAGAACATTTATTATCTACCAAGCTATTACTCTATTATTTAGGTAACATGTTTGCCTTGACACAAAACTTTCTCCAGACTGTTCCCCTCAAGGAACTAAATTGATTTTGACTCCAAGACAGCCCTTTCTGGGGCTACTAGCTGAAGAAACCGATTCTGTAAGATAACATCAATAATACTTTATACTCATGACAGAACAAGCTTTTATTTAGACTCTGCTATACTCTACTTCTCCTACCCACATGCAACATCCTCTTCATATACATTTACTAATGCTCCTGCATGTTAAAGCAAACCCTGTTTGTTTGGTACGGAGCAAGGTGAAGTTGCAAATCTTTCCTGAGAGAGGCTGGCAATCACAGCTGAAGAGTTGAGCTACCAAAACCCCTTCTTATCTGATTTTGGGCATGCAAGTACTTCCACTTTTGAGCAGTTAAGAACACCTTACCTGACTGCCAGATAGCCTCTGACACACATCTCCATGAACCATTTGAATGGTGTTGCCTCCATTTTTCCTCCCATTATCATCACCATCTCATCAGTCAGCTTAATGTCAGGCTCCCAGCCCAGGTTTCCACCAGGTGAGCTTTCAAACATGAATCCAAAATCTGTGCACAAAAGATAATTTGCCTTATAAACTTGGTCAGTTAATTGTGTGCTGTTTTTCAATTGTGTTAAAAATTGTTAATTTTTAACAAAAGCTGACAGAAGAAAGAGGTGGATTTCATGTATTAATACAAACATTTTGACTCCAACTGGAAAAAGGCTTTGGTGAAGTGTAAGAACACCAACAAAAGTATCACCACTATGACATTACACTAGACGTAAGAATGGTGATATAAAATATAAATTCCTTGCTGAAATATCTACGCAGTTCCAGAAAAGCAAAGCTAAAGCAGAGGTTACAGCCTCACACAATTAACGAGTTTACTTGTGAAGTTTAATTCATACCCATACAGTGATGAAAGGAGCCCAAAGACACATTCCTATAATGAAACATACACACATGTATGTATACACGTGTAATCCATACATATGTGTGTATATACTTTCCTGAAGCTGATAAAACTCTGCAAAGCTAAATTGTCACAGAAGCAGACAACACAGATACACAATACTGAACAGGCATGAAAAACTTCCATACATGTTTATAAACTGTGAAATCAGTACACAGATTATTGTCTTTTATCAGGAATCCTTAACAGCAGAAGGGAAAGGCAATGACTGAAATTCAGATGTGCATATGACTGACCAATATGAATGATGTGTCCTTTTTTGTCCAGCATGATGTTGCCATTATGCCTGTCTTTAATCTGGAGCAGAAACAGGAGAAGGCTGTAGGCAGCCATACTGCGGATGAAATTATAGCGAGCCTGGATGAACAACAAGCGAAAACAAATCAGAACAACATAGAGAATTTAATAACTCTCCGCCAGGAGACGATACAGATGAACAAAGGTTTTTTCTTTTTTTTTTTTCCCCCATGCATGATTACTTTGAAGCAATGTTCAATTATATTCTCCATATTTCTATAGCTGCAGTAACTTCTTCAGCTAACTCACTCATAGCCAAAAATGGATTATCAGCATCGGGAACCAGATAAAGCATTATGGTGGTCATTATCCAATTAGCTGTCATTATCTCTTATAGCTAGACTATTTCTCAGTTCAGATTTTTTCGCTGCTTGCCAACTTTTACCTTCTGGAATGCAAGGGTAGTCTCATCTCCATATTGTCTTGTAAAGTAATCATACATCCCAAAGTCTGTCTGCCTGCCCAGCTGGTCACGGGATGTGCAGTCAGGAATGCACTCTATAACACCACACTGGAGGGGAAGAAGAGAAACAGGTCTGTAAAGCATACTCCCAAAATACATTTTGCTCATGGCTCTTGGCAGTCATACAGGTCCTCTGGGAAATGTGGGGAAGCCTATAGAGCACTGAATACAGAATTTCTAGTTTATTCATAAAAATATATATATCCATGATTTTAGAATTTCCATGCTCTGTGACTTTCCCCTGACTTACATAATGTAGTCCCCAAAATCAAACAACAAACATGAATAACCACAAGCAGCAAAATTTCAGAGCCAAAAGCTTTAGAAAAGCAGGAAGCAGAAGAGGAAATACTCTTTTTGTCGCTAGTACTGCAAATATTTGGCATAAGTGCTGTGGGCAGGGCTTCCTTGCAGTATGGAATTTTTATGTGTGCTGGAAGAAATAGTCTTTTTTAATTAGGAACTGTTTTCTACAGTTAATTGCCACTTACCCCAGGAGCTGTGGCCACCACTCTGTATGGAAACACAAAGAGATCCAGGCCCACCAGCTGAAATATGTTCTTGAAAAGATCGATGATTTGTAAAGCCAACATGTCCTGTTGTACAAGAAAAAAATTGCACAAGCATTACAGGGGTTATGGACCATAACTTAGACTACAAAAATGCTCTGAAGAACTCTGAGGTGCACACTAAGTTTCCCCAGCAGGTCTGTGTGCTTGTGCATGCACTGTGACTCTGGGGGAAAGAAAAAGGGAATTGATACATACTGTTTAAGCGGGCAGCAAGCAACACTCATCATTTAACTGCAGACTCAAGAACAACAAACTCTTCCATCACCCTTTGATAAGAGGGCTACTAATAACTCCAGGGATAATAACTAGCATTCCCTCTTAATCAAAGCCAATCAAACTTCAATGTACAAGATCCCACCTTGGGAACTACTGCTATGTTATCAATAGTTCAATTGAAAAACAGACTCTGTAAAATAATTTTAAGGCATGATCAACTGTCTTGAAAGCATGGCCCTTATTTCCAAACCAGAATTCCTCTACGGGTACCACACAGTTCTCTCCCTCGGTTCAGAACTAGTGGAGAATCTCGAAGTTCCAAAGAAAAATACCTCCACACTAAAATTATTTTCTTCTTAGGTATTGTCACCTACAAATCTGTCTTCTATAACTGCAAAGCCCAACAGCTCGGTACCTGTCTGCAGTCATCGCCCACTTTGAAGATAGCTGCCTGCCAACAGATTTTCTTGCTGTCCACCCCTTCTTCTGCACTTTCATCGATGGAATCAGAACGACAACGCAGACCTGCAAGAAGAGGGCAAAGTAAAACCCAGACATGGACTTTAATTAGCAACTTTCTATCATGATAAGCCTTCTGCACTCAAAATCACATTTCACTACAGATGCACTACAGATATTTCTGCCTTGCAAGGTGAATACCATGAGATAATTCCCTTTGTCTACTGGAACTGAAAGATCTCAAACTAGTGTTTTATTTACCTGATAAATGCCTGCTTTGCATTAAGCTAGTCAGCTAAAGCATCCCACAAAATGTATTATGAGAAAAAACAGCCAAAACCTGGAGTTTGCTACAGTCTAAAAACCAGGAAAAGGCCATCAATTTCCACGTTAGTCTAAAGGATCTGTTAAAATTTCTTCAGGATCTCGATGTGTCTTCCTTCCTGGGACTTAAAAATAGATTTAGGCCACCAGAATTTTCTTATCTTTCTTTGATCCAGTTTCATTTCTGAGTGGAACCATTGCAGGTAATGTCAGCATGGAAATAATTTTACTGCAGCAGTACAGGTCACTAAAAGCAGCCAATTTTAAAGGAATTAATGACTCTTCAGTAGCACTGTCAACGGTTAAGACGCAGTTACTAACCTTCTTTTTCAAGCTCACTAACTCCACATCGTTTCACTTTAAATTTGGCCAGATAGGGTGCCTTTGCTGCGCTGAATTGTAATGAAAACAAAGATGATGATGAGTGCAAGTTAGCCAAACAAGAATTTATAGAAAAATACCTGAATAAAATTAACTTATATATAAATAAATAAAGAAATAAAAATT